CAGTCTCCCTCGGGATCTGGTCGAAGCTCTGCCAGAGGTGGGAGTTAAAGATCGCTTGGACAGGGGGTTCTGCCAAACATTCCCAACAGACCCTCACAGTACGCTTGGGTTTGCTGAGTTTGTCCAACTTCCTCTCCTGCCATCGGATCCAACTCACCACTAGGTGGTGATCAGTTGACAGCTCCGCCCCTCTCTTCTCCCGAGTGTCCAAGACATACGGCCGGAGGGCAGATGAAACAACCACAAAGTCGATCATCGACCTCCGGCCTAGGGTGTCGCCACATGCACTGGTGGACACCCTTATGCTTGAACATGGTGTTCGTTATGGACAAACTGTGGCTAGTACAGAAGTCCAATAACAAAACACCGCTCGGGTTCAGATCGGAGGGGCCATTCCTCCCAATCATGCCCCTCCAGGTGTCACTGTCATTGCCCACGTGAGCGTTGAAGTCCCCCAGTAGAACAATGGAGTCCCCAGTCGGAACACTTTTCAGCACCACTCCCAGAGACTCCAAGAATGAGCCAAAGTTATGGAGAAAAACTACCATCTGATCTACTGGTTGTTTTCCTGATTCATCAGTTATTCATTTTATCAATAAAATGTCAAAATTAGAATTGTGAAAACTGAGCTATAGAAAATTATATGTAAACATACAAAAATTAAAAGTCATGGTACTTGGATGTAGCATTGTATTTCAAATTGAAAGCATTTTGGGCTTTTCTGATTTCAACTTCCTCTCTCTGAGATTTTCAGCCATACCTTTACATTTCCCAAACGTTGTTGTTTATGTGAAGTGAGTCAGCAGCAGTCACAGCTGCTGCCTCAGGGTTTAATAATGAGAAGCATACCATGTAGGCCTAAGATGGTGGGCGAAGCAGCCCTGAAGTGCTGTAGTTAGCTGGAGCCAGATGTGAGGAAGATGAGGGCTGGACTGATCAGTACAACACATCTGTGTCTTTGTCTCTGCTTTTATGCTCTATTTTTTAGCATTTGTGTAATGGTGCACCAGCAAACACCCCACTCTGCACGGTTCACAACCCGGTGTACATTTTTGCTGACTTCGGAGCAGTTTGACATCTTAAACGTAGTGAAGGGGGGTGAGGGTCACCTGCTAACCCCCCCTCCGGTCCCCCTTCTTGAAAAGAGGGACCACCAGCCCGGTCTGCCAGTCCAGAGGCACTGTCCCCAACTGCGATGCGATGTTGCAGAGGCGTGTCAGCCAAGACAGACCCACAACATCCAGAGACTTGAGGTACTCAGGGCGGCTCTCATCCACCCCCAGTGCCTTGCCACTGAGAAGCTTCTCAACTACCTCGCTGACTTCAGCTCGGGTGATGGCCTCTGCTTCCTCATCGGAAGACATGATGCTGGGGTTGAGGAGATCCTCGAAGTATTCCTTCCACCGTCCGACGATGTCCCTAGTCAAGATCAACAACTGCCCAACTCCACTGTAAACAGTTTTGGCAGGGCACTGCTTCCCCCTCCTGAGGCGCCGGACGGTTTGCCAGAATTTCTTCGAGGCCAATCGATAGTCCTTCTCCATGGCCTCACTGAACTCCTCCCAGACCCGGGATTTTTCCTCCACAACCACCCGGGCTGCAGTCCACTTGGCCTGCCGGTACCCATCAGCTGCCTCAGGTGTCCCACGAGCCAACCAGGCTGGATGTAGGATGAGACCTATTGGTGATCAGTTGACAGCTCCGCCCCTCTCTTCTCCCGAGTGTCCAAGACATACGGCCGGAGGTCAGATGAAACAACCACAAAGTTGATCATCAACCTCTGGCCTAGGGTGTCCTGATGCCACATGCACTGGTGGACACCCTTATGCTTGAACATGGTGTTCGTTATGGACAAACTGTGGCTAGTACAGAAGTCCAATAACAAAACACCGCTCGGGTTCAGATCGGAGGGGCCATTCCTCCCAATCATGCCCCTCCAGGTGTCACTGTCATTGCCCACGTGAGCGTTGAAGTCCCCCAGTAGAACAATGGAGTCCCCAGTCGGAACACTTTTCAGCACCACTCCCAGAGACTCCAAGAAGGCCAGGTACTCTGCACTGCCATTCGGCCCATAGGCACAAACGGCAGTGAGAGACCTATCCCCGGCCCAAAGGCGCAGGGAAATGAACCTCTCGTTTACCGGGGTAAACTCCAACACATGGCTAAGCTGGGGGGCTATAAGCAAGCCCACCCCAGCCCGCCGCCTCTCACCTTGGGCAACTCCAGAGTAGTGGAGAGTCCAGCCTCTCTCGAGGAGTAAAGTTCCAGAGCCCAAGCTGTGCGTGGAGGTGAGCCCGACTATCTCTAGCCGGTACCTCTCAACCTCCCGCACAAGCTCGGGCTCCTTTCCCACCAGCGAGGTGACATTCCATGTTCCCAGGGCTAGTCTCCGTGTCCAGAGATTGGGTCGTCACGGCCCCTGCCTTTGACTGCTGCCTGATCCACTGTGAACCAGCCCCTTACGAATCCTCCTGCAGGTGGTGAGCCCATGGGAGGAATATCCATCAACAGCAATTCTCTTCCTAGTCTGTTGATAAAGAAAATGCATTATTTTGGTCTCGGTCCTCAGATTTAACAATTTTTTTAAAATGTCCTTATTTATATTCCCATACCTCCTTCTCTCTCTCTCTCTCTCTCTCTCTCTCTCCCTCTCTCTCTCTCTTAATCACCAGTTTATTTCTTCAGCAGGCATATTTCTTTATTGTACCTACCTTTACATTTTACACTTTCAATTTTTTTTGTTTTTTACTACAAATTTTGTACTATTAATTTAAAGTTAAAGTATTTTTAATTTTGAATGTTTATTTGTAATGAGGCTTGTTTAGTGTGTGATATTGTTACTTTTACATAAATCGTGATAGAAGTTCTACCACAAATTCAAAACACAAGGGTAAAACTGCAAAATATATCAGAATGTTCTCTTTATTGTTGCTGGGAACATGGAATTATTCTTACTTGATTATAATTAAGTCCACCCTTGTTACATACTTCATTTGATGTACAGCATCTGTTAAAATACACTGAATATCCAATTAAAATTTCAGCTGTTAAAAAAAATAAAATCTGTGCATTTTGTTCACTGAACATTCCAAACTAAAGTGTAAATGTGTACATATATTGTGCAAACCAAAACTACTACTACTAATAGACTATGACGTATTTGGTTTCACAACATTCGTCTTTCTCATTTTTCTTTTTCCCATGATCCATGAAACTCTTAAACCCAATCTGTCTCGGTTTCCTAAATCAGTCTCCTTATATTCGTCATCAATTTCAACACAGGTGAGGGTATTTACAGGTACAGAAGATGGTTTTTATTTGTTTAGACTGGGTGCATAGGTGGAAAAATGGGCCGGCTTCCTGATGACTCTTTTTTTTCCTGGTAACCTATGATGAAAATGATTCACTCTGCTTCTTCACCATCACTATAATCGCTATCAAAATATCTGTGAACAGTTTTTGATCAATTTTGAGCAAAGACCACTGATACTAATAATAAACACAGTTTTGGTTTTCATAGTATAACTGATGCTCGCAACTGTTGCTTCTGGAAGCTCTGTGGTTTTTCCACTGAGATCTAAGGTTGAAAAAGAGAGAGAAACATGAGTATAGGACAAGCCTAGTCTGGTCTTGAGGTACAACCCTCACGTATACGCCCCTGTCGGGGCTTAGACCCACCCTATATCTAACATTCCTCTACAAATACCCCATCTTATCGTGCAACAGAAAACAGCATCTTCAAAACAAAGCAAAGGCAGAAAACAGGAAACCTCCAGAAAAACTTCAACAGGTTCAGAAGACACCTAATACAAGGTAGGCACCCTGTTTTTTATATCCACTTTTTATTCAACAACTAAAGCTCCAATTGCAATTAACTAAAATGACAGGGGATGAAAGGACTGGGTGAGGATTAGCTGAATAGCTTTTGATGGGCACCAGCAAAAATAATAAAAAGTGCAAGAGTGATAAAGAGAAAAAAGCATGAATGGTCCAACGACATTTGATGGTTTGTGTTTCCTGCTTCCTTGAGGTTTTAGTTCACACGTTTCACCTATTTATTTAAAATTTTATAGTTTGAATATTTTTACATATTTTCAATAAAACTATCTGTAATTTTGAGAATACAGTGACAGAACTTTAAGAAATATGAGTGAAACAAAGTTTCAGATTCGTTTTTCTGCTCTCAAAGTTTGTGATCTGGAGCAGGTCAATTATGATAAAAAGAAAACCATTTTAGTGCTGGTCTAAATCCAGCACAAGTTGCAGTACTGTCTAGGCTATTGGTTTTTCTTGTTTACTTCATTAGATTTAAGATGTAGGAATTGGATAATAGTTATCTGTGGGTATCATATAAGACATTTAGTTTGGTTTATTATGGAGGGGAAATTTCAAATGATAAACGATTATTTGGATTATCTGTATAGGTGGCAAATAAAGGGAAGGAATTTGTCATATTAAAGAAGATTGTTTATGTTTCTTTACACATATACTGCATAAAATTGAACCAAAAAAATAGCAGGTTTCATCAGGTGAATTTTAAATATATTCTGCTCCTTTCTTTTGGTACCTGAATTTAAAAGTTCCTCTGATCAAAAGTATGTTCTTAAACTGAATCACTTTAACTTGCCAGGTCTTTTTTTGTTCTGCCCTGTTTAACTCAAACTTTCATTAACTTTAATCTGTATAAAAATGAATCATAAAATTTCTCTAAAATAATTAATTAAGGGACCGATTTTGTAAGTAATAAAATGTTAGGGAGTGGCTCAGCCAGTTCTAGGTGGAGATCCACAAGGCCAGAGCCTGTCGGGACATGAATTTGTAGCCCTAAGCAACATAATCTTCTGAAGGCGTGTCAGAGGGAAAGGGTGTTTGTTGGCGTATGTGTTCAGCTATGTGATTACAAGAACATAAAAAAATCCCACAGTAATACAGCAGTAATAACAGATAAAGAGTTATTTCATGTTGGATTAGGGGAAGAGATTCAACGACTCCTACTCTCTAACCAGGAGAAGAAATGATGTGAGGATTTATTCAAACAGCACTTAAGTACTAGGAACAAAAAGTATTAACTTAATAAGATGTAATTAATTGTATATGAGCAATGGAGCAAAAATAAACAAAATTATTAGCTTGTACATAAAAGTAGGAGAAATCTTAGATCTTGGGGAAGGCAATAAGAAAACATTCACCCTCCACCAATCGTTGGGGCTAAAATACAAGTTGATAAAAGAATGATATGATTTAGCTGACGTCACAAACAAAACAAAAGGTAATAGAGTACAGAGTAGTGAAAAAACTCATTTTCTCCCTCATGCCTATGTTTTCTGTCTTCATCGTATCTTGTCCAGAATGGGATCTGCTGCAGTTCAGATTGTATGTGTGGCCCTCGGGGTCCTCAGCCTGATTGGGGTCATTGTATGCTGCGTTGTCCCTCGCTGGAAAGTATCTTCCTTCATAGGTTCCAACATTGTAACTGCACAGGTAAGTGTCAGCCTCTTGAAAATATGGCAAGGATGTAAAACCCACGCACGCTCCTCTGTCATACACTTCGAGCAAGTAGTCTTTACTTTATACTTTTCTAAAAGTACAGATGGTATACAAAACCACAAACATTGTTTTTCTTTCTGCCTGTGTGTGTGTGTAGAGCACTCAGGATGGCCTCTGGATGAGCTGTGTAGTGCAGAGTACCGGCCAACAGCAATGCAAATCCTACGACTCCATTCTGGTGTTGCCCTCTGACCTGCAGGCCGCCCGTGCCATGACCATCATCAGCTGCATGTTTTGCTGCCTCAGCCTCCTTATCTTGTTCTGTGGGGCAGACTTCACCACCTGTGTGGAGAATGAAGACGCTAAGCCCAAGATCAGCTTGGTGGCCGGGGTGGGCTTACTGCTGGCCGGCCTCCTGATCATCATCCCTGTCAGCTGGTCTGCTAACACTGTGGTGCAAAACTTCAACAACCCTTTGGTAGCATCTTCTCAGAAGATGGAGCTGGGAGAGTGTATCTTTGTGGGCTGGGGTGCCGGTGTGCTGCTCCTTCTGGCTGGAGGTCTGCTGTGCTGCTTCAGCAGGCCCAGATCTGGCAGCTCAGGGGGAACTGCAAAGTACTACAGCAACAGCGCCTCCGCCCCTAGCAAAAACTATGTGTAATGCCTTTATGAAAGGGACTGTTGTTTGAGAGACAGGATGGAAGGGCATTGTAGCCAGTTAAAAAGAACGGCAAAATAGACAAAGTAGACAGGGGTTATTTGGAAAAAGCTGTAAATATTAATAATGTCTGGCTCCAGTTTTTGCTTTTATATTCAAAGTTATGTTGGTGAGTTTTCCATTTTAAAGCTGTTTTACTCTTAGGTGATGGGTTATGCATAAGCTATGTGAGAGTAAATGGAAAACAAATGCTAGGTAAACTGTAAATTATCAATCAATCTCACAACATTTTAACATCTCACAAAAGTTTTATTTGGGGTGCTTTGATATATATATATATATATTATCAACTAAGATATCCTAACAAAAGAAAAACTGTTGTATTCTTCTTATTTTTCTTGGAATATTTGACTTTAAAAAAGTATTTAAAAGAACAACAGAAGCCTACAGCACAATTCAAATGAGAATAAAAGTCTGTATAAAAGTGTATTTGTGAGAAGAAAAAATAAATATAAAAGAGCCAAATTTTAGATGTGCCAGTAGTTCATATTTTATGTATTGTTTGGATCAACCATTATTAACCTCTTCTGTATGTCTTTTCACACCCATCTTCATCGTTGCTATGATACACAGGTCAAAACAGATCTTTAAAACCAAAAGCCCCTCAGGAGGCCTCAGGGAGCATCTGCACACACCTGTTTCTCTGATGACACCTTACAAAAATGTCCACAATGCATTTCATAGCATTTTATATGACATTAATTATTGCTCATTTTGTTTTGTTTCTCATATTGTGTGATGATAAGTATAAATTATTAAAATTGGGTCTAAATCAAATGTCTGTATCATGTGTTTGGAAAAAAAAGCCAAAAAATGTGTTTTGAAAACACATACGACTTTATTTCAAACTAAAAGCATATATTAAGATAGTTTTTTAACTGACCAGACAAACCAAATAAATTCAGCTTTCCTAACACCTTTTGTCTTAATCTGTCCCTTTGTCTCACTACAATCAGACGCTCACAGCCATTTTCTTTGTCTCATTGTCTTTCTTTTTTCCTCAGTTTTTCTTTTTTCACTCCTGCCCTTTATTTAGATTTCTTGTTTATCAGACTTCTCTAGTTTAATGCTTGCTCTCCAGCTCTCTCACACGCTTGGTCAGATCCTCTATCGCTGCTTTGAGGTCCTTCATCTCCTTCCTCAAGGACTGAACCTCCTGAGAAAAAGACAGAGACAGAAAGGCAGAGTCAAGATGGTTACATAGTAGAGACATATTATCACCAAAATGTACTTAAATATCAAACGTAAAAGTACTCATAATGGAGAAAAATAACCTCCATGGATGTTATATTACTGCATGCTTTAGTATTTAATCATTATTACTGACATTTTGTTTTTGCAATTGGTCATGGTGGTGCCTATATTTTATGTTTAAGCTGAAATTAAGTTGATGTTTGTGTGTAAAGTCTTATTAAATAAAGTGACACTTTAAACCTAAATGCATTGTGGTTGTCAGTTTTAAATGTCTCACCACACTGTTGTCCTGTTGACTACCAGCAGAGGCAGTTGTGGTCTTCAGGAGACTCTTGTGAACTTTGAACTCCTTGGCTTTGGTAGTTGCTACAAACCCATCTTTTAGAGATATCAGAATAGGCTGGCTGTCTTTTCCTTGAAACCAGTCATCAGCTTCGACTGATGGCTCCGGACCAATGGTGTCAGGGTACAGATCTTCCTGGAACAGATCAGACTGCCCAGGCAGACAAGGGAAGAGTGAAAAAGCGACAAAAATGAACAAACTACTCTTAACCAACAAGCTCATTCTGATTTATAAATGTACACTTTACTTTGGTTAAAACAAATTACTTTGCGTGGCACCGTCATGACGATGGGCTCACACTTCCTCTCATGGAGTTTGTAGAACCTGAAGGTAGAAATAGTTCAAGTCATTGTATCAGCCTAGCTTAACACAGTAACTTTCTTTTAGAAGAACTGGACAAGTGCAATGTAAATGTAAAAACACTATACACAAGAGTCTAAATCCCTGCTACAGTGTGAGACTTGTATTTAGACACAGCAGTGCTTTGAGCTAAATGCTAACATACTAACAGGCTCTAAGTGACGTGCTAACATGTTGCTGTTTGGCAGGCAAACCACGTTCACTGTCTTAGTTAAGTGTGTTAGTATGTTTGCTAGTTAGCTCCTAACACAAAGCTCTGCTAATGCTAAAGGGAATGTCGTTAGTTTTGCAGGTATTTGGTCACAGACCAAAGTTTTAGACAAATTCAAAATTTGATTTGATCATGGCACCAGATAAAAATATATAGCATCAACAAATCATGAGTAAAATCATCATTCATATTCCACTCAGTGCCACAAATAAGAATCTCATTGTGGCACTGGAGGAAAAGCAAGGGGATCATCACAGTCATTAGGGTTCATCCTCCTTGTTTAGTCATTTCAGACTCTGGACCAAAGTGATGGATTGACTGACAGACACATAGCCACACCACCAGAATGCACTGAGAAAGGCACTGAGCTGCTTTTGGTTTTATAAAGACATAAAGTGTCGCTACCTGGCAATCTCACATTTGTTGACCTCCAGGCCCCTCTTGGGCATGTATCCCATCCCCTTCTGGCTCTCCTTGCTGCTGAACATGGAGAGGTAGTGGACATAAGGAGCTTCATCTGTTACCTCAAAGTAACGGATACTGCTGTCCCCCTATGACGAATATTTGAAGAACAAGTCAGCCGTGTGCATCACTGTGACTGAGACCAGACCCCAAAAAAGGGTTATTTCGAGGGCTAACCTTGCCACAGAGGTAGACAATGCCAGTGTCTGGGTCATAAAATGGCAGAAGGACACCACTACTGGTGTCCAGCTCCTGCAGGGTCAGGGGCTCTCCAAAGTTCTTCTGTTAAATGAGATTCACATATACAGAGATATAAACATGGCTGATATCCATTGTAACATCCTGTATTTAAAAAAAGGCTGCTTGAGCAAACTGCAGATAAGCCAAGGATTTATTTGGCCAAGCCTGGTGTGGGAGATTGCAGAGTAACACTGCCCTTAGTGCTGTAATCTGACTGTTGTGAAACAGCAGCGTTGTAATACTGTAAACAACTGCCTAGTAACAAAAAAATAACATTTTAAATGCACTGCAAAAGTACAAGATTTTTAAACCATGTCTATAATTTAAAGCCCCACTCTGCTCTAAAACGTGTTCTGCAGTTGAACCTTGTAAATAAAAAAACATTTCCAGTCGGCATTTTTTATAGATTCTGGATGTTTAAATGTTGTTGAAGCCACACATTCTCAGACTTTAAGAACAAGGATAAGGATTATGATTCTTAGTTTAGTTTACTAAAGAGGGTTTTAGTCTGAGACATAAGCAACTGTATGAGTCTACAAGCAGGTTGCTGACACTCACTGGGTCCCACAGCGCCACCTGCCTCTCACTCATGCGACTGAAGCCAGTACTGAGGATCTTCCCATCAGATATAAACACTGCCCTGACAGGCCTGGAGCCCTCATGAGGCTTCTCCTTCTCCTGTGGGTGTATGAGGCAGAGTTAGAGGTGTTCACAACATGGGCCTACAGTACAGTGTTTCAGAATCTTCACAGTCTTGACTGTATCATCTCTCAAGTCCAGTGTATCATTACCTTTTATCTTTAAGTGCTCTGACTACTGCTACTCTCAAGTGAGATGTAAAATTACTTATTATGAGTAGAAAAAACATAATGCTATTACAATTTACATATTAAAATGATTAAATGTAATTATGCAGATATCAAAGTCCACAAAGTTGCTGCATATAGAAGCAGCAAAACTAACAAATTCATTAGCGATATAACAAATCTTGGATATTATAACCCAGCAGTTTTACCTTCTACTTACTTTACAAAATACCCACCTAGACCTGCTGACTCACCAGTTATAAAAACTAGAACCGTCATATCATTATTAGAACTTAAAATATTATTTGAATAATCAATTAGTAGATGTATAGAAAGTTAATCATCAATGATTAAAATGATCAACTCATAATTTATTTTGAAGCAAAACCTCTTAACATCTGTTGGTGCCAGTCTCTAAATATGAGAATTTGTTTGTTTTTTTTTTGTTTTTTTGTCTTAAGTTGTAGTAAGTGAATATCTGAGATGTTTAGACATCTGAATATGCCATTTCAGGCTCTGAGAAATTTTGGTGGGTATTTATCATCATTTTCTGATCTTTTATGGACCAAATGATTAACTGATCAATCAAGAAAATAACCAGCAGATTAATCGACAAACAAAAATAATCTTTAATTATGATCCTGATCATTAAACCCTGTTAGTTAAATGCCACTACAAGTGACCTGCAGTGACATCCATGGCAGCTCTGTGTTATCAGGAGGGACAGCATCAGGAGGAAACTTACCAAAAGGACAGTACCCTTGCGAGGGTCCAGCACCCTCAGGGTCTTATCCTTGCAGGAGGTGAGAATCCTGGAGCCGTCTCTATTCCAGGAGGCGCTGTAGATGAGGTCAGTGTGTACACTGTCAATCCTCACCACTGCTTCCCCACGAGCCACGTTCCACAGGATCACCACATTATCACAGCCTGCGCAGACAACAAGCAATAGTGAGGAAAAGTGAAATGCAGGGGTGAAATGTCACGTTGTAGTTTCATTATCATAATTTCCAGTATGAGTCAAAATCAAATGCATTTGAGGTAAGTAATCTGAATTAGTAAAAGCTGCCATGGCTACAGAGAGAAGAGAAATACCCTATAGTAAATAGAATAAAAATAGAAATAAAAGCTGTGACATGCATAAATCATAGGTTTGTACTGTATATAATATAGTATGAAGTTAGAGCTGGGCAAATGTTCAAGACTACTCTTTAATTTCAGTGGAACTGCATTAGAATAATATAATCCTAACCTGTTAGTGAAGGCATGAATGATTCAGTTGTAAAAAACTAAAAAAAAATGTTTGGTTTTTGTTTATATTCATATTTTCTATATGGACACTGGCATAAATATTCTATTATCATCATGTTATCTATTCAAACAATGTTGCCCAGTCCTAGCATCCGTCAGCTGTTAATAGTATTATTTAGCATCAGTTTACTGTTTAACACAGACAGACTAAGCATCAACCCGAGGGCTGGAGGAGGTGGGTGGAGGGTGCGAGAACTTCCTGTTCACACCTCTGAAAATGTGTCTCATTCAACACACCAATACTACCCTGGTTCCTCTAATGCACGAGTCACACTTCTGCAGTTGCAGCTCCTAATAAGCTGCAACTGCGTTTGTAGTAGGGCAGTGGTCCCCAACCCCCGGGCCGCGGACCGGTACCGGTCCGTGGATCAACTGGTACCGGGCCGCACAAGAAATCATTAATTATTTCCGTTTTATTTATTATCTGAGTCTGAACGATCTTTTATTTTGAAAAATGACCGCATTCTCTCGGTTACATCTCGGTCACTTGAGCGCCAAAACTGGCTTACTTGTGGACATATTCAGCCTGCTCAATGAACTCAATCTGTCACTTCAGGGGAAAATGACAACTGTCTTCAAGTTGGCAGATAAAGTAGCTGCATTTAAAGCCAAACTGGATTTGTGGGGACGGCGCGTCAACAGAGGCATTTTGGACATGTTTCAAACATGAGACTTTGGGTGAGACTGAGCCTGAGTCTTCATTCTCCCAGCTGGTGCACGATCACATGTCTTTGCTTTTAAAAGAGTTCGAGCGCTACTTCCCAACCACAAAGGACCCACGAACTGCCAAGGAATGGATCCACAACCCATTTGTCAACAAACCAGGTGAATCCAGCAGGTCTGTGCAAGAAGAAGATCAACTGCTGGAGATCGCAAATGACGGCGGCCTTAAAAGTATGTTCGAGACAACAACTCTGTCGGTGTTCTGGATTAAAAACAGCCATCCTCCCCCCCCCCCCCGGGCCGCGGTAAAATTGTCAAGCGTTGACCGGTCCGCAGTGATAAAAAGGTTGGGGACCACTGTAGTAGGGGGTTTAAATGTGGGTAATACCTGCACTCATCAGTACATTGTGGGCAGTTGGGTGCCAGCTCAGGATGCCAACACGTTTGGAATGGCCATCAAGCTTGACAACAGGATCTGTGAGCGATGTGGTCAGCCCACTGTCCGGGATCTCCCAAATCTATTTAGCAACAAAGACATGCAGTTTACATAGCACAGTACAGCAGAAAGAATGTCATGTCATGCTGTGCTGAGAACTGAAATGCTTCAAAGATCATGCTGATACAACACTGTAATGGCTTACCATGACACTGCAGTCTTCAGAGCCACTGGCAATGATGTTGTCGTTATGAGGACAAAACTCAATGTCTAGGACCGGGCCTGTGTGGCCACACACAGTGGGGTAGGACATGTCAATACGCCCTGTCTGCAGAGAGGAACACCAAGTAGGATGTTGAATACGGCTCTCAAAAAACCAAAACCAAACAGAAACAACAGGGACAAAAGGCAAAGGATAGAAAAAAACAACAGCTTGATGGATAAAGCAAAGAAACTCCAAGGTAACATACAACTGTGGGGCTAATTGAGATGATGATCTAGACAAGGTGGGAGGAGGAAGATAATACTCAGCTGATACAAATTTCACAGCTATGCCTCCAATTATTCCTGATTTCTCATAGCAGGGGCAGAGAGGAGCATGAACACGAATCACTTCTTCGGTTCTGCTGTGGCCTGATTTGTGTTGGCATCAGGCCTAATTCAGAGCATCATAATAACCAGTATATATCTCAAAACAGGATGAGTAGCTCTGTTTTCACAGTACGTTTCTCTGAAATTTTGTCCCTTGACTCATTTATTTCCATTAAGAATTAAACATGAAGTCATAAATCTTGTTGTCTCTGTACCAAGCTAAATTTTAGACATTTGAAAAACCTTTTAATGCCACACTTTAATACCTGCTTCACAGCCAAAGTATGAAAACATGATGGACAACCAGGAGAGATGATAAGACTGAGAGATATTTATCATTATGTTACATAGTTGTCAGTATGTCCCAGCACTGTGCAACAATAATTCCTAATGATATCATTAATTAAATTAATGCCACCAGGACCCATAGATAGGTTAACTGAGCAAAAACTGATTGATTAATTTAAGTTTTTTTTGCTACAGGTTTCATGGGTCTGACTGAAAATCCACAAAGATTAAACTCTTGTGTGCACAACCCACTGTCCACCAGTCACACTTTTAGTTTATATATGTGTGTGATGCAGTCTGCAATCACACCCCAAAACAGTTTAAAACTAATATTACTGCATATAACATGCAACATTTTTTTGTACATTTAAGACTCTTTAATACATTTAGAGGCTTGTGTTTATGAAGGATACTGAATTGAGTGTTTTATAAGGCTTTTCAAGACCTGCAGAGACCAGGACTCTTTAGGAGCTTGACAGAACATGCAGGTGCTCTTGTGATAAGTTTACATACTTTGACAAAGAGTAGTAATAACTAAACTACGCACAAGATTAGCAGTTTTCTGTTTGTTTTTTTTTCCAGGCACATAAAGTGTAATGAGTAGGGTTTAAGCCATCTAACGTACTCCATACGTGACTGCAGAGCCACATCCTGCCCTGACTGAGCTTACAACAAACTCCTAATATGGTGAAAACTTCTCAACAGCAGGGCATGTGACGTGTAGAACAATTCAAAGTAGGCATCAAACTTCCTTATTCAGCTGAATGTGTGAAGGTTACCGGCGGCATTCAAATTTTTAAAGTGTAAGCATGGTGTTAAACAAGAAAATCACACCAACTTGCATTGGAAATTATCAGCACAACCAAAAATCATCCAGTGACAAGACAAGTGACACAGAGATTCAGGAAACAAGTGCATTTTTCATTTTTGTGCTGGGGTTTTCCTGTCACCAACCTTGCTCAGGGGCAACACCATGAAGGCTCCTCCACCACTGGCGTCCACAATCATGGCCACAAACTTGGGGTTAACTGAGCAGAAGTTGCTGTCCCAGGTCATCTGGGAGATTCGGATGTCATCGTAGCATTGGTCAGCTTTCACAGCCTGACCAAAGACGTGACGGAACTTACTGGTCCTCACAACCTTCCTGGACATGGTGAACTGGAGGCAAAGCAATTAATATGAGGACAGGCTGAAAATAAAAAGGCAGAATTTCATGTGTGCATATAGGCTGTAGTAAAGCCTCAAACAGTCTCTAAGCATGCAAAGAGATCTGATCTGTCATCATCTGAATCTAAGACTCAGTATAACAAAAAATGTTAAAATTCCACCACTGCCACTTTTTACTTTTTGATTTCATGTGGAAATAAACGGACACGACACAGAGAAGCTGAAAAACACGTCACAGGAAAGCTAAAAAAAAAGAGGAAGCTAAAGCTTTGAAAACCACTTCCTCTAGTCCATCTGTGACTGTACTTTCTCCCCTTCTTTTTAAACCAGGATTCTGCATGTTACTTAAATAATTGTGCATGCTGAAGACAAGCACACAAGACAGTATGAGGATGACATAAAAAACTGTACTATTTATCATCAGTTGACCTGCACATGCTTTAAAAGGTTACGTTCCCCAAAGTGGCAGTTACACCACATCCTTCAGAGTAAGCAACAAAACCACTAGCCCTTGTCTCTTGCCCTATTTGCCATTCACACGCTTGTGCTGTAAATTATTTCCCCACAAGTAATCATACTTTCAAATATGTTAAAACATACTACAATGAATACATCTTTTACTGGGAATCAAACTTGAATGAGCAAAGCAATCAAATTATTATTTGCCAGCTGCAAAATGAACCAACTGTGCATCATTTAACAACAGTACCACCAATCAAAAACACTGAGTATGTTTTGCTTTACCTCCATTTGAAGATTTTACTTCCTGAAATCTGCAGCCACCCTTAAGCTCGCACTCAGAAGCCTATAACGGTTCTGCTGCATGTGCATCACAAGACCTCACTGGCTGATCTGCACCTAATTTAATAATCCATTCTACAGTGAGCCATAATTTTATCAGGAGCCTAAATGCACATCAATAATATCTCTCAACCACCCTCACTCTCTGTTGTGATGGAAAACACCTTGTACAAAGTAGGAAACAATTCAATAAATTGAAACGGGAGAAAGTCTTGTTCGAGGCCGTGTGGAACATAAGGAACAAAGATGCTACAGTAAATCTAAATCATTGACATCCTATTATCTTTATCTACTATATAACAAATGCACCTATTACAGGTAAAATGATACTTCCTGCAGGTATAAAGGAACTGTATAACAGAGATGTTGTAGGCCTACCTGGGAGTCAGGTTTGGGGGAGATCAGATCAGTGAGTTTCGGCAGCACACCAAACACTCTGCCACCAGAATGAGGACTCAGAACAAGACGGTAGCTTAAAGTACATCACAAAATGACATGGAGGAAGTGAGAGTTTCGCATGAAGGTGGAAGTGGGAGGCGCCTGAATAACTTCAGTTTTGACAAGTACACTTACCATAAAAAGCGTTAAAGAGCATCAGACCAAAGTGATGCATGGCTGAAATGTACAATTGCATGTTGCGGAGCAACATGACACAGCTGAAAAACTGCTGACAGGGCTTCATTATCAAACCACTACTCTGCTGCGTACACCTACATTTGATGGTTACCTATTATAAAACTAAATGAGCCATCATTCTAAACTCGAGGTCAAGTTGTTTACTTGCTTTTTATGATTTTCCCTCTATCACTGGGGGGATATTCCACACACCAGCATTTTGTATTTCCTGGCCCGGTGTTGCCAGATTCGACTGACACCAAGCAGCCCAATCAGTCCCTCAAATGGACAGTTAAATAAACTTAAACATCCTTTGGAGAGGAGAATTCGACCGATAGTCGAACCTCGGATTCAGGAGGAACAATGCGGTTTTCGTCCTGGCCGTGGAACACTGGACCAGCTCTATACCCTCTTCATGGTGGCGCAGGGTTCATGGGAGTTTGCCCAACCAGTCCACATGTGTTTCGTGGATCTGGAGAAGGCATTCGACCGTGTCCCTTGCAGCGCCCTGTGGGGGGTGCTCCGGGAGAACGGGGTCCGGGGCCCCTTGCTAAGGGCCGTCCGGTCCCTGTACGACCGGAGCAGGAACTTGGTTTGCATTGCTGGCAGTAAGTCAGACTTGTTTCCAGTGCATGTTGGACTCCGGCAGGGCTGCCCTTTGTCACCGGTTCTGTTTATTTTTATGGACAGAATTTCTAGGCGCAGCCAGGGGCCGGAGGGAGTCCGGTTTGGGGACCACAGGATCTCGTCTCTGCTTTTTGCAGACGATG